TCTTCCTCCCTTTGCAACTTGGCCATGCTCAGTCCGTCTTGGTTCGCCCCTCCTGTGCTTCAGCAGACACCCAGTCCATGGTTCCTGGCTGGTTGGTGCAGGGCTGTCCTCACCTGGCACCAGGCACCGTCCCTTCTGCCTCACCCTGTGCCACTCTCCCCTGGCCCTACATGCCAGCCGCACCGGCCTTCCTTCAGCCTCTCCAGTGTTGCAAGTTACTTCTCCCCTCGGAGCGCCTTTGCGCACGCCATTCCCTGCCTGGCTGAATCCTGTGGATCCTTCAGCTTTCAGCTGTGCTGTCCCTAATTCAGACACCTTCCCTAACTCCTCACCCCCTGGCCCCAAATTCTAAATTAGATCCTTCCTGGCCTGGATTAAATGCATTATGGAGCATCCATTCGATAGACTACTAAGTGGTCATTTAAAAGAATAAGATATATCAGTGTACTGATAAGGAAAGACAAAAGCAAGTTGCAGAACATCACATATGCGAAGTGGTCCCATTGGCAAACATTTTTTAAAGGACATACGTGCTGTGGTATGCATAAATTCTTTTCAGTAATATAGACAAGAAATTATTAATAGCGATTACCTCAAGGGAGACGACTGGGGCTCCTATAAGGAAAGGAAATTTTTCATTTTAAACTTTTCTGTAGCAATTGAATTTATCACCATATCATATTACTTTTACCTTTAAAAAAATAAGATAATTAGGTCTCCCTGTTATTTTTGGTCGTAGAATCCCCTTAGTTTCCCTCACAGTATGTGTTTTAATTTCCAGGCAGGACATTTATTTGTGTTTACAATCTCCCACTACGTGGGTGCTCCACGAAGACAAGGACCGTGTCTGTTTTGTTTGCTGTTCTTGTTGGCACCACTTAGCATGGCGCCTTCATGGTGGGTGGTCAGTCAGTATTCCTTGAATGAATGAATGAATGAACGAACAAATTGCCAGAGGAACAAGTGAACAATGCAGTTTCCTCCCCCCCCTGCCCACCCCCCCCACAGCGGCCTGGCTGGCCCGGCAACACACAGGGCAGACAAGCAGGTTGAACAACATGTGGGATGGCTAAGGTAATAGGCAGTGAGCAAGTGCAAAGAGCAGAGAGAGCCTGCTTCGTTTGAGGAGTCAGAGCTGGGAAAGAGCAGCAGATGATCTGTGTGAGGATGGGGACCTTCGTGGGGATACAGTTCTCAGGATGGTGGCCTGCTTGAGGATGGGGCTCTGCGTGGGGCTGGGGACCTGCATGAGGATGGGGACCTGCATGAGGCTGGGGACCTGCATGAGGATGGGGACCTGCATGAGGATGGGGACCTGCATGAGGCTGGGGACCTGCATGAGGGTGGAGGACCTGCATGAGGATGGGGACCTGCATGGGGCTGGGGACCTGCACTGGGGTGGGGACCTGCATGGGGTGGAGACCTGTGTGAGGAGGCACAGTCTGCTGGAACTGAGATGAAGGATGAGGGCGCCCACTTTGAAGGCACAGGAGGCCTCTGAGTCCTCCTGCCTCGCCTTCCCCTTTTCTGGGGCTGTTCGAGGTGCCCAGCCACGTCTTTCTCCATAGGGCTAGTTTAATAAGAGGTGAATAGCAGAGGATGCGTCCCCAGGGCCCTCTGGCATCCGTGCACTGTTTTTATTCTGTTCCGTTTGGCCCTGTTGTCGGGAAGTAGCAAGTTGGGGCATATGTGAGGGAGAGACTTAGCTTGTTTATGGTTATTGGAATCAAGAGGAATACCCAAGAACAGAGGATGTTGAGTCTCAGGCAAAATAAAAAATGTCCCGACTGTGGGCAGTTGTCACCCCTCTGCTATAGGAGGTATCTTTGAAGGCACTGTGAATTTGCAAAGAGAGCATGGATTGGGGTATGGACAAGCTCAGGGGTTGCAGGTGGACTGGAGCTGGAAGCCTGTCTCTGTCCACTATTAATGGTCTCACCCCATGCAAGCTGCTTAATCCTCCTGAGCCTCAGTGTTTTTGTCTGGAAAATGGGCAGTATAATTGTGATCCCCATTTTATAGATGAGAAACTGAGGCACAGAGAAGATAAAGTCACATAACCAGCACATGGGGGAGCCAGGATTTGAAGCTGGCCACCCTGCCTTTGGAGCCTGTGCTCTTAACCACTGAACAGGAGTCCTACCCATATACTTAACTGTTAACTCATTATTTCTGTTAATACTCTTCTTATTACTAGCAGCATAGAATAAAATGAGGATAAAGTTTACGTAATTAATAAGTTTTTAAAAATAGTAGTAGCTTTTTAACAGTCCTAGAGCAGACTCCTATTTCCCTCTTACGGTCTCTATTAAAATTGTGTGCTTCTGCATGTTAAACTTGACACCCTGAATCAGAGGGGTCACCCATCCAGACTTGCAGGTCAAGTAGCCATCACAGTGTCAGCGGGGCTAGATTACTCCATGTAGGTCATTTTGTGAAGGAGTGGATTTCTCAAGTCCATTTTCTCTTTCTAGGTTCGTGTGTGTGTATATGTGTATGTGTCTGAGCGGGAGGGAGGGAGGGAAGGACGGAAAAAGAACAGAAATTCCCAAGAACACATTATGTACACAGAAGCAAGTACTTGTCTGCGATTGTAAGTCAGAAACTGTAAAATTGTGAAGTTCTTTGAAGTTTGCCCAAAACCTGCTTCACGGCCACCTGTCCCACTGGGGGCCGGGAGTTGGATGGCCTGACGCTGCTGCGATGGCTCAAGCTGTCACTGCACCGGAATGTTCCAGCTTGCCTTGGCCTGGCTGTCATTGTTGGCTCCGTCCCACTCAGGCAGTTCACTGGGTTCTGTTGGGCTCCAGGCTTCCAATTAGAGAGAAATCCCACTGTGTGGCCAGCCCCGCCAGTGCCACTCTGAGAGGCCCCTTTGCCAAGGCCCGAACTGACCTCTGATCTGTCACAGATGGGCCAGTCCCACACTCCTTTGTGCACATTTGGAGGAGGGCGGTGGGGAGGAAGAGGGAAGCCCATGGGGAGTCAGAGTGGACACTGGGCAGAAGTGTGGTTCCTCAGAGCTGGGAGGAGCTGGGCAGAGCTGACAGGACCCAAATGCTAATGTTGTGGAGGGAACGGGGACTTTGGGAAGACCTCGTCCTGAGCCCTAAACTCAGCAGGGGGCATTTTCTTACCAACTTCTGAATATTCATCTCAGGCTGGACTCCACACCCGAGGAGAGCCAGGAGCAGCTAACTGGCTCACTCCAAAACTGTCACACTGCTGATGGCGCATGGCACAGCCAGCTTCCTCCCTGCCCCGCTGCAGGGTCTGTGCGGTCTCATCAGCCTGGGAGCCCCGCTTGCCATGGGCTCGAGGACAGCACTGTCAGCGGCCTGCACCGTGGACTGTGTTTATCACACAGAGCAAGAGTGAACAAGAAAGCCGAATTCCTATTAGCATAAGAAATAGAATCTTAGCAAATTCCATCTCTAATTCTCTAGCAGGACAGCGAGATACAATCTAAGCTCTGACCAGCATCTTTCTAGATAGAGGACTTGCTGAACATGGTTCATTTTTCGGGGGGTGGCCTATGTGTCTTCTTTATTTCCCCTACCGGGCATTTCTTTTTATTTTTATCCCTTTTCATTCTTTTGATCACTCTTTCTCTACCTGTCTCTTTCTCTCTGTGTCTTATTTTCTGTGTCTCCCTTGCATACTTTCTCTCTCTTTCTCCAGGTACAGCATCTGTAACCGAACAGTTGGAAGCAATGATAAAGACACAAGGTTTAGAACTGACATTTATATACTCGGGCTTAGCTTGTCTAGAACAGTCACAAATTCTAAATAATGAACAGCCTGGAAGTGGCAAGGGTCTTCCCAGCTGTTCCTGGAATGATTCTGTATCTCTCTTAAAAACAAAATTGAATTCAACCCATGGAAGAAAAACGAAGGGTTTCCTCACTCTTCTCTCCTCTCTGGGATTTTTCCTCCTTTTACTGTTTGCATTTGGTTTGGCAATTCCAGGACTGCCTCGCCCCACTTGGCCTTTTTTCCTGCCACATCTTTTGTTTTATTCTCCTCTATGCAGACTGGTTAAAACAAAGAAAACCCCTGTGCCAGCGGGTGATACTCCTTTGGAGAAGGAAATACATCTGTAGGGTGTTAAGTTGTCCCCATGAGAAGATGGACTATTTTTGTACCGAAAGCAAGTTAAGTGATGTGCTGTCTCAGTTTCTCCATTTGCATGGCTTTCTTAGACTGATCAAAGAAACGGCCTCGTGTCTCCTCATATGTCTGTCTGTCTGTCTCATATGGAGAGTTCACAGAAGGGAAATCTCCATGAGACAGCAAGAGAAGTGTCATCTGTTTATTATATTAGACCTGGCAAATGGAGACCCTGATCCCAGATAACCTGCTGGGAGCCAGGTCACATCATTAGGTGTAAAATGTCCTTCAGATGCAGGCCCAGGGCTGCGACTGTGACGATTGCAAAGACTACGAGGCGCTAATGCCCATGTGGACCGTGGTCATGAGGCAGTGCACTCACAGTGACATCCACCTCATGACACTACACTTTCTGGGTTCTTCTGTCTCTGACCTTGCCAGGCTCCTTCATCGCTTCCTCCTCTTTCCTCTAGCAGAACACTTCCCCAAGTGCTGTCCGGGACTCTCTTCTCATTTCTTTACATATCTCCTTGGAGATCCACCCCAGTGGCTCCTGACCTGGAGCATACGTCAGGATCACCAAAGAAATCTTAGGAAAAAATACAGATGCCTGAGCCCCACCCAGAAAGTTTTAATCCAGCAGGTTCCAGGGTAAGGCCTGGGATTCAGAAACTGATGAAGTTGTGCCTTTGATTCTGATGAGTACCTCGAGTTCGGTATCACAGTCTAGATCAGGAGCCGCTGCAGGCCAGAGAGCAGGTCTGAGTGTCCGTTCGAGCCGCAGCCTCCAGCCCCACAGCTGCGGGTTGAAGGCGATAAGTAATAAATGGAGAAGCAGCCAAGATCCCTATTCGTGCTGCTGACCGTTTTGCGTCCTCCTCTCATTGCAGACATTCCTGTTATTCCGGATCTGGAAGAAGTGCAGGAAGAAGACTTTGTTTTGCAGGTGGCAGCGCCTCCCAGGTACATTCAATTAGGTGTGAAGTTGGTGGGCGGCGGGGAACGTGTGAACTAATATGGGAACGTGTGAACTAATATACTGCAAACACCATCTACAGTCGCGCTGCCTGCCTCCACGGAGAGCCGGGTGTTTCTGGTTTTGGGCTCCATCCTAGAGTTCCCATTTTGTTAGATATTTTCTTCCCGTTTTGGTCCTTCCCAGCTGCCTAGGAGCCTCTGGGGACGGTGGCCCAGCAGCACTCCTGGAACTGGTTCTGCCCGTGGCTCTTCCTCACATTCTCTCTTCCCTGCAGCATTCAGGTGAACCGCGTGATGACCTACCGTGACCTGGACAATGACCTCATGAAGTATGCAGCCTTTCAGACCTTGGTGAGTGGAACAGCTTCTGCATAGAGGGGCAGGCTCCGGGCCTCATTGTAGAGGTTTCTCACTTCCTCCAAAGCCATGCAGCATCTCCTCCGTGGGTCTGTCAAACTGCCTGGCAACAGTCCCTTTGCTGGAGGCATCATCCTCAGGGATTACAGCATCCCGGGCCCCAGCATATTCCAGTGTTTCCCAGGGCCACACTCCCACCTGCTTCCATGGCTGCCCGCTTGGCATCAATAGATAAGCTGGCCATAGAGATGTGCCGCTCTTATGCTCTGCCCTCCTGGCGTTGACCTTCTCCAAAGAATGCCCAGCCTATAGGATGTTGTGGCGTTCTCCCAGCCTGTAGGATGTTCTGTCATCCCTCAGTGGCCATGTGCTTCACTCACGTCTTTACCCATTTATAAGGCATTTCTGCAGGTCTTGGTTTGGGAACTTCTACCACATGTGATCCTCCTCACTTTGCAAGAGGTAGTTGTCTGAAGGCCCCCGAGGTGCACAGCGTGCCTTTTTTTTTGTGTTCACAGGATGGAGAGATCGACCTGAAGCTCCTTACCAAAGTCCTCGCACCGGAGCATGAAGTTCGAGAGGTACGTGGTGGCAGCGGCCCCTTACTCTCTCGGCCGAGTCATTCCTGTGCCAGCTGGCTCCCCGAGCTGACCTCTGCCTCCCCAGGGCCGGACGAGTGTGGGAAGTTGGCTGTGATGGGGGGCAAAGGCCTTCCTTCATCTCATCCAGCGATACCTCTCTTGGCAGGACGACATCAGCTGGGACTGGGACCGTCTGTACACTGAAGTGTCCTCAGAGCTCCTCACTGAGTGGGACCTGCTGCAGACGGAGAAGGAGGACCCCGCGGGACAGCCCACAAATACCTGAGCCCTGGGGGGGGCGACAGACCACCCTCCCTGCACAGAATAGTCTCTGCTTTGGACTTGAACAAATGCAACAAGCCTAAAACTAAAGAAGTTTGCAAGCAGCTTAGAATTTTTGTATGGAATATTTTGTAATAAAAATAGTTCTTTTCAGAGGACCACCTTGGATCATTCAGTTGTAATAAATTGCTTTTTTCTGTGGCTGTCTCTTCCATTTTTTCCCTCTTGGAAAGGTTCCGCAAGAGTCAAGGAGGGCAGCCTTTAAACAGTCTGGTGGGAACTCCCCCCGTTGCTGGAGAGTATGATTCAGGGGAAGTGAGGTCCAGGGGTAGAAGGAATGGCGCTGCTCCTGGAAGCTGTTCGGCTCCCGGAGGCCACAGCGGTTCCCTGGAGCACCCACCTGTGAGCACCCGGACTCGGGGTCTGGGAGGCTGCAGGCAGCTGCCTGCTGGGGTCCAGGGCCCGGGGGGGAGACCTTTCCTCCTGTGGACGTTCAGTTACAGTGGTGAAGTTGCCCTGTCTCCTTCATGCTCTCAGGCAGCTTAGCTGAGGAGGCAGCAAGAAGTGGGTGTGGTAGGGTAGCCCATTCCTCACATCAGGGTTTGGTGGCTCTTCTGACAGACCCCCCCATCCCCTCATCCTGCAGTCCATGCCCAAGGCTCCAAAGCATGTTTCCCTTCTCCCACAGGTTCCCAGAGCCTCGTGTCTGGTTCTCATTAACGGGGGACAGCTCGGCATCCCTGAGAATTCCACAGAGAGTGTTTCTCCCTGGGAAACCTGGGCATCCCTCTGACCTGGGCCTCCCCCTGACCTTTCAGATACATGGCTGCTTGTCTCCACTGCGCCCCGAAGCATCATCGCCACCTGTTTCCAGAATGCACAAAGATCCGGAGCAGAGCCCAACCCTTTTCCTAGAAGAGATATCTTCTGTTTTTGTTTTTCTCTTTCTCCCCAAGACGTCTCGTCTGAGCTCAGGGCCGGCTCCCCACCTGCCGCCCCTAGATGCCTCTTTGGATCAGGCCCGGGCTGGCTGCAGCCACTCGCCGAGCCCCACTCCTCGGCCAGGGGAGTGCCAAGTGCTGCTCTTCTCCTGCCTGGAAAGCCCCTCATTAAAATTCAGAAAAACAAAGAGGCTGAACACTTCAAAAACCCACTGGGGGGTTATTTTTGTGTGACTACGTGCCCTTCCCCGGGAGCCACGCGGGCTCCAGAGCAGGCAAAGAGAATGCTTGTCTGTTAATTATAAACTCAGGGATTTAGTGGCTTTGGGGTCCCTTTTCCAGAGTCATGCTTGTGGCCCAGAGAGCCCCTCTTTGGCATAATTCCCACGGTCACTGAGACGTTTCCATCCAGGCTGGTGTTTCTTGAGCCTGCATCCTTCTGAAACCCGAAGGAGAAAGGCTGCATTTCCAGTACCTTAATTACTGGCAAATGCCTCTGCCTCAGGACTCTGACAACCGTGGAGGTCTTCAGCCAGCCCGAGTGAGGGGCTAGGGGGTGACTTCCTGCTTCCCTTTATTTTATAACATCAGCAGCAACAAGGTCTAACATGTACTGAGCACTCACCACATGCCGGGCACCGGGCTCAGCGCATATGAATCGTCTAGCTTAATCCTCACCACCACCCAGTGAAGCAGACATGGTTGTAATCCCATTTTACAGATGAGGAAACTGAGGCTCAGAGAGAGAAAGAGATTGCCCAAGATTATCCAGCAACTTAGGGGCACAGCTGGAATTCAAAACCAAGTTGTCTGACATCATTGTGCTTTTAACACCTGGGTTTTTACGCCCCCTCTGCTGCCGTCAGCTTGGCACAGTAGCTTACAGCGGGCAGAATTAGCAGGAGGCTGGGAGAAGCTGCCTGCCACCACCTGCCACCCCCCAGACCAGGCATCTGTTCTTTCTATGGAGTGACCACAGAGGACAGGACTTCCGTCAGGTCTGGGTAGGAAGACTCCCAGCACGGCTGAGCTCGAGAGTCCTGGGGGTTGGGGCTGAAGCCAGTATGCCTGGGTGGGGGCCAGTCTAAGTGACATGAGCTAAGCCTGCACAACAGTCAGCTTCAGGCCACGTGTGGCCTAGTCTTCTGTCACCTGCCTGTGCCCTGGCCACACCCAGTCTGGGCTTCATCCTTTACATGGCATCTGAGCATCACATCTTCAGAGTTCATGGGGAATGACAGGTTGTTCCAGAACATACGTCCACCCAATTCTCACCTGCCTTCTGAGATACCGTCCCTACGTTACAACTAGCGATGTCGCCCACCCCAGACTGCAGAGGTCTCCCAGGAAGATGATGCAAGAGGTATGACAGAGCGGACAAGCATCTCCAGGTACCCACAGTGGTTTTCTACAGACGCATGGGAGGGGTGTGGATGGGTCTTGCTGCTGCCGCCTCCTTCAGGTGGCATGTTGCCTGGTTCCATACCAATTTCTGCTAGACAGGCTCGTGTCTCCTCTGAACAGCCGTGAGAAGTCCCAGCTGGTCCCTGACAAAATCTCCCGTGGTGTCTTTGGCATTGAGCGGTGGCCACAGAGGTGCCATTCACGGGCCGGGCCCTGGAGGGGAAGTTGGTTCCTTCATGAGATGTTGCTTGCTACTTGGGACGTGCCAGCCTCTGTTCTAGCCCTGCCGAGATAGAGCTAGAAAGCCAGACTCCCCTCCCTCAGAACATGACATCTGTGGGGCAGACGGACAAATCAGTGAAACAGATAGTATGTCAGATGGGAAGGGATGTTATGGAGAAAAATAAAGGAACAGGGAAGGGAGTGCTGGGATAGGGGGTCACCATGTTAAATGGGGTTGGGGGGCCTCACTGAGAGGGTGACATTTGAACAAAGACCTGAAGAAAGCCAAAGAAGGAGCAAGACCCGTGCGTGGGGAACAGTGTTCCAAGGAGCAAGAACAGTATTTGCAAAGCCAGCAGGAGGGCATGCGCTGGCTTGTTTAAACAGCAGCAGGAGGTCAGTGCGCCTGGGGTGGAGGGGACAAGGGGAGAGGAGATGCTCTGCCTTGCTGTGCGCAATGCCTGGGCTGATCACAGAAAAGGCTTCAGGGTGTGTCAAGTCCGCTCCCTTCAGTGACACCCTCAGGCCTCCTGGGGCCTTTGGAAAACTTTCCTCAAACTGCTGCGTGGCCCCTTCATCAGTCTGTCTGGAAGCAGCAGAATGGTTAATGCTCCATGGAGGGAGCGGGGAACAATGGGCTCTGTCTGCCACGGCCCAGAGGTCAGGAGGCTGCTGCCAGCTCCCTGCCAGGCCGGGGTGCGCTGGTGTGCAGGCAGACAGGGCGGCATTGTAAGGCCCCTGCATGGAACGCTCCCTGGAAACTTGCAGCTCTGATGAAAGGCTGAAGCAAGAAATTCATCTGGGCAGGCCCGTGGCTGAACCTGAGGTCATCGCTCCCTCTCATTGTTGGCTCATCTTTGCTAAACCCCAGGACACTCCAGACGGGCTTTTGGAACTATGTGCTCCAGACAGAAACTGATGCTGCCGCCTGTTCCGTATTGTTGACCAAAATGTGCTGCTTCCACAGATCAAGGCCTTGCTTGCTTAGTGGTTGGGGGGCTCCTGGGAGCACGGATCCTGGAGACCTGCATGAAGGGTAGTATTTGCTGCAGAGAGAGAAAGAGGCTGAGCTTCCTTGCTCTGCTTGCCCAGGCACTGCTGGCTTGGGGCCAAAGATTTGGTGGGGAAGAGGCTGGGCAGAGCAGGTGGGGAGCCGTGGCAAAGAACGTGGATTGCAAAACCAGGCAGGCCTGGTCCCAGTCCCAGCTCTGCTACTTGGTAGCTGTGGGTCCAGGAGCGAGCTGCTTTCCCTTCCTGACCCTATCTTCTCCTCTGTAAAATGGGGATAATTCGAGCACTGTCCTCTTCGGGTTGTGATGTCCAGGAACAGCTGACCGCTGTTAGACTTTAGAACTGGATGGGATAGAAGAGTGAACACAGGAGAAGCCACAGTGGATGTTTTATTGCAACACCTGCATTTTGCTGAGGGGGAACCACCTTCATTTCCCCTCACACATCATTTTCAGCCATGGATGGAAGAACGGCTTGGCACCGGGTTTGTTTTTTTGTTTTTATAACCACTATTGAGGTATAATTTGCATGCCTTAAAATTCACCCACTGAAAGTACCCAGTTCAGTGATTTTAGTAAATGTATGGAGCTATACAACCATCACCATAAGCCTGTTTTAGAACATTTTCATCACCCTACGAAGTTCCCTTGTGTCCCTTTCCAGTTAATCCACTCCCACTCCCAGCCCCAGGCAACCGCTGATCTGCTTTCTGACTCTATAAACGTATCGTTTCTGGAAATTTCACAAAAATGGACTCATAGAAGATGTGGTCTTTGGAATCTGGCCACTTCCACTGAGCATGTTTTCAGGGCCCATCCATACAGTGGCATGTGTCAGTAGTTCTTTCAATTGCTGAATGGTGTTCCGTGGTATGGACACATACCACATTTGGTTTAACCATTCATCATCTGATTGACATTTGAGTTGTTTGACTTTGGGGCCATTATGAACAAGGCCCTGTGGACATGCATGTATGTGTCTTTGTGTGCACATGTTTTCATTTCTCTCAGGCAGATTCCTAGGAATGAAATCGCTGGTCATATGGTGACTCTATGTTTAACTTTTCAGAAACTGCCAAGCTGTCTTCCAGGGCACCCATTTTACTTGTGGGTTTGTTTTTCACTGCTTTATGACATCAGGATTAACTAGATACTTCATTTTTTCTTTTTTTCTTGTCTTTTTCTGTAAGTTTTCCGAAGGTGGCTGGTAAGTTGCAGGAGGCACATACTCCGGGTTCCTCCCTCCTTCCTTCTTCCTGTCATTGAGCTTATCTCTGTTTTGAGAACACAGAGCACATCTGTCCGTTTCCCCCACCAGCCTGTAAGCTTCTTCAGGATAAGACAGGCTGTTGTTTGAGTTGTTGTCAAGCCCCATGCATATTCCAGGAGTTCAAAGTCAAGTAAGACATGGTCCCGACCCCAAGTAGCTCATAGGCTTGTAAAGAAATAGACAAGTTTCATCTATGTTTTCAAAGCACTGGTTTTGAAAACCACAGAGGCTTCCTGGATGAGCGGAGGAGCCCCAACAAGCTGCTGCAAAGAGCAGATGAAGGGAGAGGGAGAGAGGCAGCTTTATGCATCCACCAGGACATCCAGAGGTGGGGTTGCTTTGCACAGAGCAGGA